TCGGCAGGCGGCGCCGACTGCCGCCGCCCCCGCCGCCGGCCACCGAGGAGACGGCCGATTTGAGCTCTGCAAAACAAAAGAGAGACATTAGAGGAGATCTGTGTTGTACAGAACCAAGCTTACCTCTCAACGACGTCATCTTCTACACTTTCTAGAGTTTAAAAACGGAATAAAATCATCAAGGATGAATAATAAAAGCAAAGTTGGAAGGTAAAATCAGCGATGCTTGTCCTCCTCTCTTCCACCAGTTGCTGAAAAAGATGAGAAGCGGGAAAAATCAAAACAAAACAAAATAAAAGCGCTGCGTGTTGAGAAGACGCGCCACTGCACACTGACCAGCGCGCCGCGCACACCTGATCACAGTGTAGGTGCACTACTTTTGCTGCAAAATGAAGATTCTCTTTTTGTTCGGGAGTTTATTAAGTAAAGCAGCTGCCTAACTCGGGCCCTAATACAGGTCACCTCTATTCGTCAGAGTTCCAAGCCCACAGCTGTTTCACATTTGTGTGGCTGCCGATCTGTACCGAGGTGGATGGCTTTGGCTCTGGTAGGCGCTCTGGTGGACTCTCTGATGGTGGTCGTGGTGGCGACTGCTGAACGGTGACAATGTTTTCATTGTTGTTGTTGATGCAACCAAGGGGAGAAGGAACAGAGGGAGGAGGTGGGGCCGATGTGATGTAAATGTGAACATTAACGTTGGTCGGTAAGGCAGGTGTTGATGCTGGTGGATCAGGTGCTGGCTGTTGAGCAACAAATGAAGTGGTTCGCTTTGATGATGCCCCTGATGGGCGGCGATCATCTGAATCATCAGTTTTGTCTGGTTTTTTGCTAGTGCAGCAGCAACATAAAAGAACAATTAGTAGGACTACAAAACATAAGCCGGAACCACCCACAATGATGCCATTTCGTCCGCCATTTTCAGAATCTTCAAGCCATTTCACAATGCTCATAACCTCTTGTTCAATTGCAGTGTTATTGGCAGTGGTATTATTCATGATTTGCTTGAAAAAAGACGTTCATTTTTTTGTTTGTGGGAAAGCCTGTGGAGATATACCGATCCTTTTATACAACAAAACTGAGATCGTGACACATCTAAGACGCAGTCAGTTTTCTTTTCTCAGTATTTTAAGTTAGTAAGATTAAGTTTTAAACACACAAAAGCACTTGATGACAACATCAATCTATCTAATGATGGCAGTATCAGCTGAGGAAGTGAGTCACTCCGAAGGAATACCGAGGTAGTTGTGGGACAACTAAAGAACTAACCAGTCATCGGTCTAAGAATCGATAATCCTCATTTACATTCCATGTTTTGCATTTAACTAAATCTGCAAGTCCACAAGGTCAGCGAGTTCTACAGTATCCATAGTCAATCCACAAAAGTACATCAGCCCAATTGCAGTGGCAAAGAAATACCTCCTTTGCTCGATCATACAGATCTGGCCGCATCACTTGCATTGTTTTGCAGATAATGGCTGATTCCTAGAGGCAGTGCCACAGTACTATAAATAGTTGGCCACTTGAGAGATACTGATTAGATTGATATCATTAGAAGGAGACTTTTTAAAACATTTAAAACAATGGTTAGGACAGGAAGGACAATGTCTAATAATCGTGAGAAAGAGAGCTGCCAGCTGTTAATCTGAACACGCCCTGCTGCTGCTGCTGCTGCTGAGGGTGATGGTCAGCAGCCAAAACAAAAAAAGGAACGGTATAAAAAGGAGATGCAAGTTAGAAACGAAAAACAAGAAAAATGTGTAGGTAAATGGCATAAGAATGATCACTGGTTTGGACTGATTTTCCAGCCGTCATCACACTAGCATGACGGTGATCTCGTGTACGGCGGGGGCGGAACGCTGTTTACTACTTCTACCACCTGAAACTGATGGTCGTGGTGATGGTCTGCCTTGCTCAGGTAGGGCGGGTACGGGGTGGGACTGCTCGGTGGACTGCGCTCGTTAACGGTCATCGAGGCGGCGGTCACCACACCGCCTGATCCTGATCCGGAAGAGGAAGAAGAGGAAGTGGGCGGTCTGTAGTGAAGGTAAAACCAGCGGCCGCCGCTGCAGCCGCCGGCGACCAGCACCAGGAGGATGACGATGCCGCCGGCGATGAAGATGAAGGTCTGCAGGTTGGAGGGGCGGTTGCTGTGCTCCTCACGGCCGATGCACCGCTGGTCCACCTTGCTGTAGAGGTGGCTTGTCTGGGCAAGGGGAGAGAAAAGGGGGTTGTTTACCAAAAGAAAAGAAAAGAAAAAGAAAGCAACTCGAAATTGGGTTTTACCGGACAAACGCAGTAGTGCTCCGCCAGTGAGTGCTGATAGTAGTGCCGGGCCGTGTCGCAAACGGTGTTGGGAAAGAGGGCGGCACATTGCTCGTTCCGGGTGCAGTTCTTGTGCATGCATTTGTAGTTTCTGGTTGGCAAGAAAGAGAGTTAGGAAATCCCGGAAAAATAGAGTGAAAGTAGCACTCACTGTGGCGTCCAGTGGTAGCCCAGCTTGCAGATGCAAGTGCCATTGTAGCAGACGGAGTTGCTCTCGAAGCCGCACTCAATGTTGGAGTTGCAGTAGTCGTTGGAGATCACTGCAAGAGGAGGAAAAGAATGAGCAAGAAGAATGGTCATTAGAGTCAGTGTCACACCGGGGAAGAGGGAAGTTAGATCATTAGGAACATTGACCACCACCGCCGCCGTTGATTACCATCGGATTGCGAAGTGTCGCCGGTGTTCGCCGGCGACGGCACATCGAGCTCACTCGAGCGCACACTGGCCGTGCACTGCTGCGGCACGAAGACAGAAAAGACAAACAACGAAAGGAGAAGGCAACAACTCGAAGAGAGGACAGTGTAATTGGAACGATTAGCTGCTGCTGCTGGTGCTGACATGATGACTTGGTGACGATGCAACACTGCTGGTGGTTAGGGGAAGACTGGTAGCAGCAGCTGATGTGAAGCTGTTTGCTTACTTGTTGGACTACTGCTGCTGCTGCTGCTGCTGCAGTGGTAATCGGTAATTGGTAATTGAGAGTGGAGGACCTGGGCACCAACGCTACAAGATAACAGTGACGCTGATGATGATGATGGGGGTGATGATGATGCTGGTCAAGTACTGCCGTACATCGGCTGTCACTGTAGTCACTAATGTATCANGGGGGAAGACTGGTAGCAGCAGCTGATGTGAAGCTGTGTTTGCTTACTTGTGGGACTACTGCTGCTGCTGCTGCTGCAGTGGTAATCGGTAATTGGTAATTGAGAGTGGAGGACCTGGGCACCAACGCTACAAGATAACAGTGACGCTGATGATGATGATGGGGGTGATGATGATGCTGGTCAAGTACTGCCGTACATCGGCTGTCACTGTAGTCACTAATGTATCACTTGATGTGGTAGTTCACTTGTGGAGAGTAGGTTTGTACAGCACCAACAGCAACAGCAGCAACAGCAGCAGCACTTTCAGTCAGTCAGCCTCTTTAATGAGTTGTAGCCGGCCGCCGTCAGCAGAGCGAGACCAGCTGAGTCGCGGGAGGCAGACTACTGTGAATGTGAATGTGTGTGTTCAAAGCAACGGTGCTGAAAGTGGTAGTTGTAGTGGTCGTGGTCGTGGTGTCGATACCACTGATGCAATGTCCTGCCCAGGTGGTGATGTCAGGGAGATGACATTGAGCGAGCTGAGCAGCAGCGGCGGAGACATTTCAGGTGCAGACTGAACAGGCGATGCTGCCGCTGCCACCGCCGCCGGCAATGCTTTAATTTTCTGTATTTCTGCTGCTGCTAAAGTACTCCGAGACGGACTTGACCGAGTGGATCGACTTGAGGAACTGCTTGTAGTACTGGACGCTCTGCTTGTACAGTATCGTATTGTCGCCGGGACCTTTCGGCTTGCTCTTTCGGCGCTTGCGGCGGTGGCGGTTGTTGTTGTGTTTACCTCCTTTGGAGTGCTGACTCGAACGGCCGGTGGCGGTGCTGGTTCGCGAGGTGCTGCTCGTTACTGCACGGCCGCCTCCTCCTCCTCCTCCTCCTCCGGCGGATCGTCGTCCTCGAGGTTTGCCCTGGTGGTGGTGCTTCTTTGCTGCTCGGGTCTTCCCATCGCTGGTTTGCTGGTGGTGATGCTGTTTTGACCGCCTGTAACCACCTCCGCCGCCGCCCCTCTTCTGGTGCCCATTCTGCGCACTGCTGCGCTTCGTTTGGACAGTCACTCGCTCGTAGCTGACTGGAGCGCTGGGCGGCACCGCCCCAACCTTGCCGCCGCCGCTCACCTGACGCCGCTTGTTGGCGTTCGTGCCCAGACTGCGGCCACTTTTGGTGGTGGTGGAAACGGCGGCACCAGAAGGGCCGGCAATGGCCGCTGCCGCCCCTGCTTTAGGTTGCTTTGGATCACTGGCGCCGACGCCCTTGCAGGCTGGCTGTCCTTTGAAGCCTGGCTGTCCTTTGAGGCCAGGCTGTCCAGCCTTTCCACCGGGCTGTTGCCCAGCTTGTTGTCCCGCCTTCAACCCGTCCGTGGAGTTCATCGGCGGCTGCAGCGGATCGTCCGTGAAGAGGCGACAGAAGAAGAGCCCCAGGGCAATGCAGATGATGCACATGAGGAAGAAGGTGGCGATGAGGAGGAGGATGAAGGGAACTGCGTTCGGGTGATTACTATCTTTGTCACCACCATGGTCTTCAGTGGTCGGCGAGGAATGATCGCCCGAATCATCGTTGTCAGACTTCAGGACAGAGGCCTCCAGTACCGCTGCACTGCTCAGGATGCCGTAGGACAACAGCAGGAGGAGGAGGAGGCCAAGTAAAGACACCGGAGAGCTTGAAGCTTTGTAGGCAAAGAACATATCTGCTGATGAAGGTGGGTGTTTGGGTGAATAAAAGGCGGAGTTCAGAGGTGAACTGGACTACAGCGTGTGACTTGTGCTGGTGAGAATGTTTTGAGGCGGCTTTGTAGTTTTTGGTAAGCGGGTAAACAGCAGACACGTCAGCAAAGGACGAAAATGATTGCAACAATGAGATGGAATTGGACTTTGTTTGCCAGTGTGGAAAACTGTGCCAAATAAAATGGCGATAATTGCAATAATGGTCTAATGACAAAAGGCAAACGAGAACAGTTTGGAAAAACCATAGTGGTGGTTGTGAGCAAAAACCATTTTTAATGAAAAATAGGAAAACAAAAATAACGGACAGAAATGTTTGAAAAGGAAAAAGAATTTGAGGAAAACAGGCGAAAAAAATGTGCAGTTATAAGGAAAGTAATAAAGAAATAAAAGAAAATAAAAACACAGTGGTAAAAAACTGGACACTTGAATTGCTCATGATCACCAGTACGGTTCGTAAGCGGTTCACTTGGTTGCAGGTCCGNGTTTTTAATGAAAAATAGGAAAACAAAAATAACGGACAGAAATGTATGAAAGGGGAAAAGAATTAAAGGAAAACAGGCGAAAAAAGATGTGCAGTTATAAGAAAAGTAATACAGAAATAAAAGAAAATAAAAACAGAGTGGTGTAAAACTAGACACTTGAATTGCTCATGATCACCAGGTTTGTGCCGCTTGAGTCCTGGCAAGCAAACTTGACAGGGCCACTGGGCACTCCACTGGGAATGGGAACCGGGTTGAGGTCGACATCAAAGGCGTTGAGGTTCGCAGCCAGGACGTTGATCTGGAGACCGCCATCCAGTTGATCAGTATCGGCAGTCCCACTGAGAAAGAGAGCCAGTTCGCCATGGACAAGGCCAATAGCCAAGACCTTTCGCTTCAACTGGACCAAATCGCGGAAAACTGGATGTACGCAGCTTCCGGTGGGCTCAGTGCTTACAACGCTTGCAAAAAAGGAAACTCCACAAGAAGCAAAGGCAAGCAGACTTCAGGCTGAGAGCATTCATTCTTGAAGAGGTCTGTAGTCGGTNATCACCAGGTTTGTGCCGCTTGAGTCCTGGCAAGCAAACTTGACAGGGCCACTGGGCACTCCACTGGGAATCGGAACTGGATTGAGGTCAACATCAAAGGCGTTGAGGTTCGGAGCCAGGACGTTGATCTGGAGACCGCCATTCAGTTGATCGGTATCAGCGGTCCCACTGGCAAAGAGGGCCAGTTCGCCATGGACAAGGCCAATAGCCAAGACCTTTCGCTTCAACTGGACCAAATCGCGGAAAACTGGATGTACGCAGCTTCCGGTGGGCTCAGTGCTTACAACGCTTGCAAAAAAGGAAACTCCACAAGAAGCAAAGGCAAGCAGACTTCAGGCTGAGAGCATTCATTCTTGAAGAGGTCTGTAGTCGGTGCGAAGCAGACGGCAAATGGGAAGTGATGACTGCTGACAAGCGGCTTATATAGACAGGTGCCAATTCTGCTGAATCACGCTCCCCAAAATTGCCTGTTGGCCAATTTGGGTGCACTGCGCACGTACCGCACAACTCATTCTGCTGATTCAGCAAACGGTCTGCCAACCCAAAAGCACCGTACAAAGATGATGTTACAAATGAGTCAAATATTTAATGAATCAGGAAAAATTAGCTAGATCCAAAAATCATTCTTCAGTCACGCCAAACGATGATTCTCAACCGTTGACACATCATCAGGTGTCCTTCACTGTCATCGTCTTTGGCGTCCTGTTTACTTTTGCCTAGAACGCTTAATCGTCAGCTGATTATCGGCAGCGTCACCGGTCATTATCGATGACGCCATTTTGATCACCTTCGTCCGTTGGCCATTTTGCCACCACCATCACCTACTTCGGCGCCAATCGATCGATCAGCAGATAGGCAGGCGTTAATTGCCATTCGTAATTTACAACTGTATGACTATGACTGTTACCAGCTGAGCTTCATTAGTGCACATGAACGGAGAAAGAGCACACACTTTCCTCATTCTAATGACACTCCCCTGACAGTTAGCACAAAAGTATAAAAGGAACAACAGTTATCCCGTGGTGGCGGAAACTTTATGTAAAATTTTCTTTTGAATAATTGAAACCGAAAAATAGAAATGTGTGTTTGTGAACATCAAACAAAACGTAATCATCATCATCGTCATCATCAGCATCAACAAAAGTGAAAATAACATCAGTGAAGAAAAGGGAAGGAGGGAATTGTAAGAATTATAGAGAACTTTGTCTGTGTGTTTTGGTGGAGGATTTCGGCAGAGGAGATTTGTGCCGGGCAGATGCCTCCGACTGCAGTGATCAAGAAGAAGAGGAAGAAGAGAAAGAAGAACTGCCAAGCAAACATTGCCAATCATTCAACAGTGATTGCCTCCNGGAAGAGGGAAGGAGGGAATTGTAAGAATTGTAGAGAACTTTGTGTGTTTTGGTGGAGGATTTCGGCAGAGGAGATTTGTGCCGGGCAGATGCCTCCGACAGCTGTGATCAAGAAGAAGAGGAAGAAGAACTGCCAAGCAAACACTGCCAATCATTCAACAGTGATTGCCTCCAGTCCTGGCTGGTTCACAGCGAGAGCCACAATCGTTCTGATGATTGTTGCCTTCTTTGCCACCACCACCACAACTTGCAAATCAGCAGAAGCAAATGTTGTGGTAGACAATTCGGGTGGTCCGTATGGTGAAGAAAACAAACGTAAGTTGCACAAACAATGGGTTGAACAAAAAACAAAAATCTCTTTTAAATCAAATTGATGTCAAACTCCCCCAGTTGATCAGAGTGTGCACTACCATCACGCCCACCACTACCACCACCATCACCACTACTACCAGTGGTTTCCGTATCCTGCAGCTGAACCCTATCCGCCGCCTGAACTTCCTCATCCTCACTTTCACCACCACCGCTTTGCCAAATATCTTCCCCGGTGGCTGGTGAAGTATCCACAACCTTCATCACCGCCTGAAATAGTGCCCACCAACACCACTACCTCCAAACCCGAAAACTCCAGCTCAACAACGCCGCCGACGACGATTTCCATCACTCGCCGTCCGCCGAACCAAGCTAATGTGGAGTTTCTCCGATCTTTCATAGCGCCCTTCCTCGCGGTGGTTAGCGGTTTTGGATAACAGGAAGGGGGAGATTAAAGGTGGTGTGACACACTGAAACAGGAGCTTTGACTAGACATCTGAAAAATTATGAACTGAAGAGATAAACTGAGTTGAACAAAAATGAAAACGAATGAAAACGAATGAATGGATGGCATGAGTGGAGGGATTGCATCAAATATTTGTGGTCTGTGTGTGTATGGAAGAATTGAGAAAGTGGAAGAAGAAAGTTATAAGTCGCAGCTGCTGAAAGAAACAAAAAGCCAAAGTGTTAGAGACAAAGCTAACAAAAGCTCAAAACCTCCGAACTCACTCAACATCAACATCATTAGTATCATCACTTCTTGGCATCATTCTCCAGTGGATACTTTGTATCCTGCGGAGGCCCACAGCCGGAAGAGGAGGAAGGACCTGAAGGACCACCACCACCACCACCGCCCATATATGACGGACCATGACCATGACCACCACCTGGCGAGGGCGGTGGCATGGACATTGAGTGATTAAAGTGCGGCGGCATATGATGTCCTCCCCCGCCACCCATGTACGGCGGCGGTGCCGTGTCGTCCTTCACCAGCGTCCACACCCAACGGTAGTCGGTGACGGCTAATGAAAAACATTACAAAATTAAGCAAAATTAAGCATGTTTTTTAAATAGAAACAACAAAACATGCCCACATCCGCCGAGTAGCGCGCCTTGCCGCTGGTGCCCACGCCGCTGCCCGCCTGCGCGATGATGCGATAGCCGTGCGAGACGAAACGGCCTGCCAGATATTAACAATAATAAAAAATTGTACTTTTTGCAATAAAACTGAACAACAATAAAATGATGACACTTACTGAGAACGGTGGCCGCCTTCTGTCCGGTGCTGAAGGTCTGGTCGCGGACGTGGTGCACGTTAAGGCTCTTGTAGAGGTGCATCTCAGTGGGCGGAATNTAGCGCGCCTTGCCGCTGGTGCCCACGCCGCTGCCCGCCTGCGCGATGATGCGATAGCCGTGCGAGACGAAACGGCCTGCCAGATATTAACAATAATAAAAAATTGTACTTTTTGCAATAAAACTGAACAACAATAAAATGATGACACTTACTGAGAACGGTGGCCGCCTTCTGTCCGGTGCTGAAGGTCTGGTCGCGGACGTGGTGCACGTTAAGGCTCTTGTAGAGGTGCATCTCAGTGGGCGGAATGCCCAGCTCGTCGCGGGTGATGTACGTCGGCCCCTCAAAGATGCCGTCGTTGAGGATGTGGTCGTTCAGCTCGGTGGCATTGACTGATGTCCAGGTGCGGTTGGTCACTACCAGGACGACGGGCATGATGATGATTGAGTGTGCTGGGAAAAAGCAAAAAGAGCAAAGGATTTGGCGGGAAGACAACAGCTGTGCGTGGTTTCAACTGTTGTTGTAATTACAACAGCAGCTAAAGTGGTCGTCTGTGCTTGTTTTCTTGATGATCCCAGCAATGTACGGCGGCAATAAAAAGTGTACAGCAAAAAGTAGTTGTATCAGAGGATTACTTCTTTTTTTGCTGAGCAATGAAACGAGGTGCTGCTAGTGCTGCTGGTGGTGACGGCCGCTCTGGCCGAAACTAATGAATTGCCGCAGTCAGTGTCGGTTTGTTTTCAGTGTCTTGAGAACCAAACTGAGAAGGAATCCTGCTTTGCCTGCTTTCTCACAAGAGACAGTTTGGGTAATGAGATCTGCAATGGCAGCAGCAGCCGAGGTAGCTGTAGTAGTGGAGGCCAAATGGTGAACTTCCATCATGTGCTGTGTGTGTGTTTGTTTATGCTAGTACCGAGGCACTGTACTGAAAGAAGCGGAAAAAGTGGTGGAGGCAAACAAATACAGCACACCAAAAGTAGCAGCAAGCATTTCTCGCCGTTGGCGTGTCACTTTGAAACTTTGCAAAGAAGAAGACGAAATTGAATGAGAGAGAGAGAGAGAGAGAGAGAGAGAGAGAGAGAGAGAGAAAA